GTAACATTTACGGGACATCTTGGCCAACTTACCGTCATATTGGCTTCCAGTCACTTTTATTTGCTCTGTTATGCTACAAAACGTTGTCAATAAAATCTCTCTCTGTCGGTGCCAGTAAATATTCTGGTCATCACGACTGTGAGCCGTTCAGGCGCTCTCCAGATGGAAACGCAACCTGAGGCAACCCCCACCTTCAGGCCCTGCGCTTCAGTCCAGAGCCACGGTTTTAACAGGGGTGAACGAAGCCCTGGCTGTCTGCACTCTCCGCTGGCGCTTTCCTCTCCCAATGAAAAACAAGAAGGGGAATGAAAAGCTGGCTGCCTCTTTGCGCTCAGTTTCATTTCCCCAGCTTTGCCTGCTTAAAGAGTGGCAGGCGGCCACTCTGGGTTTGTTTCCTGCAAACAGTTGCTTTTAGTTTAGCAGACCCTTAAAACCATTTCATTGTGAAGTGGATTCTGAGTTGTTTTCATGCCATGAGGTGACCATTAAGCAGGGCATGAAGGCAATGGTCTTCCCCTTTGTTTGTCCCCATTTAGTAACTGGGGGTAGACTGCTTCTGAACACAGAGGTTTTACTTATGGCCCATGTCCTCCTCCATGACTGGATCCACCTGCCTGAAAAAGCCTTTCTGACCTAGCAGCCGTCAGCCCCGCCTCTCATGCAAAGAAGCGCGTTTTCTGATTGGTCCCAAACCTCCCACCAGTCTCTTTCATCGGGCGATTGTGAATTCGAACATTACATTTGTGATTTTTGTGCATTTGCCAATAGGGTGGGGCTGCGGCTCTATGGCAGAGCATCTGCTTGGCACGCAGAAAGTCCCAAGTTCAGTCCCCTGCACCTCCAGCTACAAGGACTAGGCGGCAAACGATGCGAAAGACCTCAGCCTGAGATTCTGGAGAGCAGCTGCCACTCTGAGTAGACACGGTATTGATTGTGATGGACCATTGATCTGATTCAGCAGAAGGCAGCTTCATTTGTGTGCTCATATTTTTTTACATATGCCAAAATCTACACTGAACATTCAAATTGCACAACGGCCTTTACGGCATAAATAATGGGAACTCAGCCCTAGTGCTCACTAACAATCTTCAGATGCCTAAACAGGACTTTATGCGTCGCTTTCTTGGTGCTTTATACAGCGGTTTTCGGTGCCCTTCCTCTCCCCTGCCCCAGCCCTCCCGCCTCCCCTTCTCTGAAAGCCAATCTGTCAGTGGGACCTGTTGGCGAAGGGGGCTTGTTGACTGCTCCCTGTCCATTACGGCCCAGATTATAAGCATATTGCACAGCGCTCTCCACACGATGCCAGGGAAATCCAATACGCTGAAAGGTTAATGCAATCAATTAGGGTGACAGGGAAGTAAAGTAAAGCTTCCGAGTAGATGAAAAAGGAAGAAAGAGAGAGCAGGGACCAAAGGGGCCTTGCCAGAGGATAAAAAACCCTGCATTTTTCTCTCTGTACTAGACTCGCGCCTGTGCTGTTTCAGTGCCAATAGCACAACAACCTGTCCCCACATTTCCAAAGTGGGTGTGTGGCTTTGCTATGTGGGAAGGAGTCATTCTGCAGGTTTGCCAAAGGGGGAGGAACAGACCAGGAGAGAGATGCACGGGTGAAGGCACAGCCTTCAAAGGACTAAGAAACGAGTTAAAAGTTTAATAATTTGGGGGGGGGGGGTCATTACCATGGGGTTCCTCACATTTGTGTCTTATAAAGACAACCCGTGTTTCAGATCTAGGCTGCTTACAGATTAGAAACAACAGTATAAAAATAAGTCATTAAAAACCAGGCACGTTTTGAAATGGCAGAACTCGCAGTGTCAAATATCCATCAAAACAACACTATATTAAAAGGAGTTCATAAAATGATGCAGGCAAGGATGGGGGGGGGGGATCCTGTCATATCTACTGATGTCACAGATACTACCTGCAATTCAAGCAGGCAAATGCCACACTGGACTCACAGCTTGGATGTGCTATCTAGAGGGAGGAAGGGGATTTCCTCAGCATCAAAGGATGGTCAGGAAAAGGAGAATTCCCAATCTTACTTTTAGAAAGCAGCCTCTGACCCAATGCAAGCAAGAAAAAGTGAGGTAAGAAGAAGAGAAGAAGAAGAGATTGGATTTATACCCCGCCCTTCACTTGGAGTCTCAGAGCGGCTTACAAACTCCTGTCCCTTCCCCTCCCCACAACAGACACCCTGTGAGGTAGGTGGGGCTGAGAGAGCTCTTTCAAGAACTGCCCTTTCAAGGACAGCTCTTGTTAGAACTATGGCTTGCCCAAGGTCATCCAGCAGGTGCATGTGGAGGAGTGGGGACTCAAACCCGGTTCTCCCAGATTAGAGTCCACACACTTAACCACTGCACCAAACTTAACCACTACACCAAACTTAACCACCAAACCAAACTTAACCACTACACCAAACTTAACCACTACACCAAACTTAACCACTACACCAAACTGGGAAGGTTATGAAAGGGAGGAGGGGGAGATGATTTTGGTGATGCGCTTTCCAGGCTCAAGTGGTTAAGACGCTGAACTGCAGGTTGTGGAAGGTCAGTCGTTCAGCAGTTCTAGACCCGAGTGTGCCGCATGACGGAGTGAGCTCCCGTCTCTAGTTCCAGCTCCTGCCAACCTAGCAGTTCGAAAGCAAGAAATTGCAAGTAGATAAATAGGGACCACTTCGGTGGGAAGGTAACAGCGTTCCGTGCGCCTTGGTGATTGGTAACGCCAGCCACATGACCACGGAGACGTCTTCGGACAGCACTGACTCTTCGGCTTGAAAACAGAGATAAGCACCGCAACCCTAGAGTCGGATTTGACTGGCTTTCGAGCAAGGGAACCTTTACCTTTACCTTTCCTGGCATGGAAGGAGGAGGATTCCTCTTCCTGCAAAGTCTCTGAGTCTTCTCCTACGTTCCCACCTGGATGCTCGGCACCTAGGAATCTAAAATGCCTTTTCAAGCCCTGAGCACAGCGTGTGACCTTCAAATTGGAGGTCAGCCCCTGAAATCTAGCACCGTCTTTCTAGCTGTCCACAGCCCCCAGCGGGCTCTAAGGTTTGTGTGTGTGTGGGGGGGCGCAGAATCCCACGCATTTATTTCAGAATGCCAGCTCCTTCACTTCTGCTTTAGCACAACGGTGTGTAGCTGTGCGACCAACAGGGCAAAGAAGCTCCTACTTTGGTAAACCTGAAGGGGGAGGAAAGGCAGAAGAAAGAATACAGGGCAAGCTGAAGCAGGGAAACAGCAACGGGAGTGTGAAGGCAAGAGGAGGGAGGGAGGGGAAGTGGAGCCTTGCTTGGGAGGAGGAAAGAGCTGTAACCAGGGTTGTGAAGCATGCAAAGGGAAGCATCTGCCCGTTCCTTTGAGCCCTCGAGGCAGGGTGCTCAGGGGGTGACCTACACCAAGCCTGGCTGTGATCATGTTTCAGGGCCACTGCCTGCCGATCCAGAGACAATAAAGGGGAGCCTTTGAAGTTAGAAAAAGAAGCCGAAACGCAAAATGGAAAGAGACTCTGGGGGGGGGGGTATCATGCACAGGGCCAAGCGGGTGGGTGGAGAGGTTGAGAGGACAAAGCAAAGAGCCGGGTGCCCAGCGGGCGCCCCAAAAACCAAAGCGACAAAAAGAAAACAAACAGTTTATGAACGGGGCACATGCTGCCTCTGTCTGCCTCCCCCCCACACCGATTCCTGCTCTCACAGAGGCCCCAGGCAATGATGGATGGATGTGTAGGGCCTGCTCATTCCTGCCATGTTTCAGCAGAAAATATTTACATAACATTGGCCTTCCACCGGTCACCTCTGACACCACTGGGCCCGGCCCCCTGAGTGGCTCTCTCAAGGAGAGGCCTTCCTCACTCTGCCAACACCTGGATCAAGATGGAGCAGACAGGGAGGGGGCATCTTTGGTGCCATCTGGCTAATCTTCACAGGCACCAAGACCTGAGGTCCCATTCTCACACACCATGATGAGGTGATAAACTTGGGACTGGGTAACATCAGGCTGTGCGAAAAGACTCTTTGCGTCCCCCTGACGCAGGGTCTGAAGTCGTGGGAAGTGAACACAGGTTTACCCATGAAAACCTGGCCTGGGATTCTTCACTGGCCACTCAGAAAAGCCCCCATCATCTTGGAAAAGGGGCAGCCCAGTATTTTGTCAGATGACAGTTCCAAAATGTTTTGGGTTTCCACCGCCATGTGCTGGCAGTCCATTAAGCCTAACATGTGGATGACCCAGGATCTCCAAGAGAAGACTTGCAGATCCAAGTCTGATTCTTGCAGGAGACAGACAAAACAGACAATATTTATTCAATTTACTTTCTTACTTTCCTTCCCATAAAAGAGCGTACCCTGGCAACGTAGGAGACCTATGTTGGGAGAGTCGTACATTTTAATACGGATTGCCCCAATACCAGCTCAGACAGACAAAATGGCAGCACATTCTGGAAAGTCTCAAACTCCCTCAATAATTGTAATCCACCAACTGGTGAAGACTTTTCTGTTTCGTCTGGCATCCCCCCACTTACCCTCTTTCTTGTCTGTTTCTATCAGCTGGTTTTATATATACACATTGCTTTTTAAGACAGATTTTAAAGGCTTTTAAAATTGTTCACGGCTTTGAGAGCTCCAATTGGGCAGAAAAGCAGGATACAATTTTTTTTAAGTAAAAAGAAATAAACACCCGTACCTCTTTATTTCTGTCACACGGGACAAGACTTGAGAAAAGTGAGGGTCCCAGAAAATCCAGCAATTACACGTTTAGCAAAGCAGAGACATGCATCGGCCATATATCTGTACTTGACCTCACACACACACCCCAGTTGCCAGTTGTGGTTCTTTTTAGTGTTACCAGGGAGTGTAAACATGAACAAGAACACCCATGCAAACAACATCTCCAAAAAGATATGGAAAAGTAGAAAAAGAGCCCACATGGGGGGACATACCCATTTGCGATCTTGGGAGTCTCTCCTACCTTTCGGTGATTAGGAATCTGATTCCTCAGTAGGTTTTGGGGGTTTTTTTAAGCTGTGAAGTCACTTCATCCTGAGGAGCAAAGGAAAGAAGGGAGAGTGATAAATATTGGAGGCAGGACATAAATGCCAGCACCAAAGGGCATGGTGGCATTGGCAGGGTTTGATCTCACCCATAAGTAAACCACTGTTAAATTACAGCTTGGTATACGATATTTTAATGTAGATCCACCTGGGTCCGTGGCTCGGAGGTAGAGCCTCTACTTGGCATGCAGAAGGTCCCAAGTCCAATCCCTGGCATCTCCAGTTAAAAGGATCAGGTGGTAAGTGATGTGGAAAAGACCTCCACCTGAGACTCTGTAGAGCTGCTGCCAGTGTGAGTAGACAATACTGACCTTGATAGACCAAAGGTATGACTCAGTATAAGGCAGCTTGTTCGTTACATGAAATTTGAAGGAGACACAGTGGATGGTTCTGGAGTTTGTTTCAGATACATCTGAACACTTTTGGAAGAAACAGCTGAACAGGGACTCCCTTTTCAAACAACTAATAAGACAGGACAACACACGCTTGCTGTTTCCATTTCATAGCTGCCATTTGGGGGGCTGGCCCATAATACACTTGGCCCAGCCACTCTGCCCCAGTATCTTTATAGCCTATTATTGCTTGCCACCCTAATAGTTGCAGAAAGTGCCAAGTGAAACCCTTTGCTGTTGAAGTTAATGCAGGGATAAGATGTCACTGTGTGAAAAGACAGGTATGAATGTTTAATTCCAAACCCCTGTTTTCTCTTCCACCCGCTCCGCATCCTTCAGATGTTGTCTCGCAAGGGAACACCGGTGTGCCCTCCACAACGGGTAGCAGTCCCAGGTAAAGCAAACTGCAGTCCCAGGTAAAGCGTGAGGCCTGCACTCCTCTTTCACACACCCCCACCAGCTCTTCTGACCCCCCACAGGCTAGCTTGGGCAAACTCAATGCAAAACAAGAGCGAAGAGAAACGTGCAGAAAAACAACAACAGTTGCAGCAAAAAAATCATGCAAAGTAAATTGAATTATTTAGAGCCATATGTTCCAAAACTGTGACGGAGCATAAGAAAAAATGCACCGTGAGACTTCCGGATGGGGCCCTCCCTATAACTGAGGGAGGGAGAAGGTAGAAACAGCTGCTATGAAAGCAGCTGCTAATGGACTCTCTTCTCCCGCTGTCAGTGGGAGGGGGGCATATCATCCCCCACCATGTGGGGCAAAAAATACCTCCAACCTAGCGGTTTCTGCCTCTGTGTGTAACACAACTATTTTTTCTGGCTTGAGTTGTGGGCTTGACTGGACGGCTCTTTTGCTTCCGGGTTCCAGGTTCAAACTCTGCACCTGTGGCTAAGGGAGATAATGATCTAGTTCAGCTGCGGGAGGAACGCCCACCTCACAACTTTTGCAGTGGGAGGGGCAAGACTGAGCTGGTCGCTAGACTGTGCTGCTGTCCCAGTCACCGGACAGCGCATCTCCTGGCAAAACCCAAATCATCTCCCGTGTTGTGATTTCCCTAAAGAACAAAAAGTAGACACACAGACGCAGTGTGGAAAGATGAGGAGAAAGCACTCTGCACATTATCAGAGGTGCTGCCACCGTCTTTATTATTCCTTTGCATCTTCCGGGACTGAGCCTGAACCTGATAAGAAACCAAGTCCACGGATTCTGGGGTGGATAAAGCAGCCAAATCCTATATTTTCCCCTCACCTATCTTTCCCTTTTTGGGGTCCTGTCTTCTGTCCCTGCTCTTTCCTGGCCAGCAAATGCTTTATTCCCACATGTTGCCCAGCCCAGGCCTCACCCAGCGCTAGACTTTAAAAAACAACAACAAAATTTGCTTCCGCAGCCTCCTCCCCCCAGTCCCCCCCCCCCGTGGCCCTTTATTATTTTGACCGCAGCTTATCAATGATGCAAGAGGAATAACGCCAATTTACTTAGAATGTGTAATCCCCCAAATCAGATTGGGGGATTGCATGAGGCGGGCTGACCTTGCATGTGTCTCCATTAAAGCCACCCAGGCCTCTGCTTGTATTCCGTGTTCCCAGCACATATTTAGACAGATAACGCTAATTGTACTTGACATGTCCTCTTAAGGATGGACTCTCTCCTCCTCCCCCAGCTCTGCCTGACAATGAGCCGATGTGGAAAGCTGAGATCTGCTTTGGTTCTGCAGGGCAGGGCACAGTCAGGCTTGGGTGGGGGATGTCCCCCCCCCAATAAAGATCCCCTCCCCAAGGCCACATCTCCCACTCACATCCTCCAGCAAAGTACTATGGACCTTTAGATAATGCCTTCAAAAAGGGGGCTGAAACCACCCAAAAAGAACTCGAGGGGGGGGCGGGGGCGGACATACACGCACAATGCACATGTGTTCCTTTCTAGGGCACTGTTAATCAGGGATTTAAAAAGGTACTCCTGTGGCAGACTCAGGGTCTCGAAGAAAACACACCCCACAGTCCTCTGCAAGGTTAAGGGAAGGGAAGGAAACACAACGCCAGCATTATTGTCTTGCATGTGACACAAATGGGGCCACACTGCAGAGGAAAAGGATGCCCTTGGGTAAGTTGCTTGTTCTCAACTGAAGCTCCCTGAGGGAGTTCTCAGAGAAGGGCAGGGATTTTGCCCACACACATACTGGGCCCCCAGAGACACAGGTCGGCCTAGGGCCCTCTCCTAGTCTTTACCCTGGTCCCCAGAGACCACTAGGCCCCTTCATTTCTTTCCACTCCTTCATTTTATAAAGCACTTGATTTGCAAAGTGCTTCGCAGGGTGTTCCTCCACGGCAACTCAAGGAGGCAGGCCCCGCCCATGGTGCCCATTTCACAAATTCTGAATTCACCCTAGGGGTTCCAGCCTCCAGGTGATCTAAAGGTGCAAAAACGCGCCATGCGTACAAAGTATCTAAACGACAATAAAGACTTTAATAATCTATACCTTGTGTGGTTTGATATTTATACATTTCTATTCTATAGAACATAAATAGAAATCCATAGATATTGAGTCATAACGGGGTATCATTTATTAAAATCTTTGTTACAGTTTGTATGTTTTGTATGCACGGTGTGTTTTGCATCTTGAGTCCCAAACACTGTGGTTCCCAAACACAGGTGGTTTCCTGGAATTACAACTGATGCCGGGGAATCGGGGCCCGGGGGGAACCCTGCCCCAGCGTGCACATCACAGGGAAGTGACGTCATGACGCCGGGCACGCTGGGGGCGGGGCCATGGCCATACAAGGGAAAACTCTATGGTTTTCCCTTGTATGGTTGTGGCCCCGCCCCCAGTGTGCCCGGTATCATGACGTCACTTCCCTGTGACGTGCATGTGGCGCGTGCGCGCTTTGCGCCGGGATCCGAACAGGAGTCCCCCGCCGGCAAGGTAAGTGCCACTTAGCAACCCTAGAAGGCGGCCTGTGTGGCATTATACTCCACTGAAGTCCATCCCCCTGAAACCCTGCCCTCCTCAGGCTCCACCCCCAAATCTCCAGGTATTTCCCAACCCAGAGCTGGGAACCCTAATTCACCCACTGTTCCCATGTTACCTCCTTCCGACCATACTTTACAGAGGAGTAACCCTCGAATCCCTGTTGAGTTCCAGGGCTTGTTCTGAGTATGAAACGTTTAATCACAGAACGCCCTGAGTTGCAATGCTGGAGTGGAGTGTCTGTGAGCACGTGCAAAGTGCTTCCCCTTTTTACCACAGAGCAACCGAAGCCGATTCCCCACACGAATGGGACAAAATGTCTTCCGGATCTTCGCTCAAGCCTCAACACCTCCTCCTCCTTGGTTCCCCAGATCCACCGAGCACCAAGCTGGCATCTGTTTGATTTTATGAAGCTGACAGGAGAGACCGAAGGGAGATGGAAAACTGTTTACCTACAGCAAGGTAGGCAACGTAATCATGGGGCTGTACACTGTTTTGTATTGATAAACAAAAATCCTGTGCCGAGGACAACCAAATTCTGAAATGTGCCTCAAGTATCCAAACTGAAGCCATGTTCATCTTTTTGGATAATTAATTCTGCTTTTATTGGCTGCAGGGAGGGGCAACGTGCAACTGAAGGCACACCTTCTGACACAAGACATTTTGGCCACACACGGATGCCCAGAAAGGTTCACTAGATATTATACATTCAAATGTCTCACTGCGGTCTTAATTAATTTTCTTAAGAAATGTATAACCTACCCGATCCTGCTCTCAAGGTGCCTTAGAACAACAGTAGGTGCCACAATTAAAGCACTAAGGACTAGAAACTTGGTGTGGGTGGGTGTTTTTTAGGACGCTGAATTTCTGTGCTCAGTGCCAAATCACAGAATATGCACGACAGAGGAGGCATGAAGGATTCCACAGCCACCAAAGGACACACCTCCACCCTCTCCTGGCTCCAGAAGCTGCCACAACTGGCAGCAAAATATTTACAATATCTGTATAAATATTTATACCTGGCTGCCCATCTCTGGACCCCAGCGCCAGTTCGCTGGGCATGACATCAAAGCCATCATGCATCCCCACCCCAGCCGTTTCACTACGGACAAACTTGAGCAGAGAAAGAGAAAACTTTCCCACCAAAGTGGACTTTGGGCTTTCCTTTCTCCCCTTCCCATCCCACCACCCTCCTAATTTGACTTTTTCCAATATCTTTTCTTCAACAACCTTTTTTCCCCTTCTTCCTCCCCAGCAACTGCGCATTTATTAATTCATGAGGCACTAATTAGTTCTTTGTTTAATTTTGTGTTAAACAGACTGACCGGAATGATAACGACTTGCAGCGTCGCATTACGGTCCCCAACCGCCCCTGTTTCCTGACAACAAGGGAGTACAGAGAGACTGGCGTGATGAACCCCAATTCCCACTTCAGTTGCACTTCATTAAGTCAAAATGTGACAAGAAGCTTAGAGAGTAACTTTCAGATCGGATCGCACATAACAATTGGGCAGGAAACTTTCTGAAGAGGGGCGGGGGAGACTCTCTGAATGAAAGCTGGCACTGGCGGGCAATTCCCCCACTATTCTCATCTTAAAGCAACAGCAGACGTATTCAGAGGC